AAAAAAAAAAAAATGCTAGGGGATGTATTCTACATCTAGTATCTACACAACAGATGTCATGAGGCTGGTGAATATTCATACTACTGAGGGGAAATCACTGAGCCTCAGTTTTGTAATTGTAAAATGAAAAACCTGAATGAAGTTTTCGCTAAGGACTCTTCCAGATCTAAACATCTGTGGCCCAATAGAAAGTGAAGGCAAATGATTCTCAAAGAAATCTACCCGGAGGGCTTATTACCAGAGGCTTGAGGCTGGGCATATGCGCCTTGTATTCCTTCAAAGTCCTCTTCAATGGGACTTGAGGTCTACAAATGAATGAAAGAAAAAGAGAAGAGGTTTACTAGAGACAGATACCAAAAGACTGAGAAACTATCTTGATGGTCTTAAACCTTGAAAATCTGCATAAGGTCCCCACATCTTTTATATAAAAGGAACAGACTTGCTTAACAGACATTAAGAACTTATTTGTACTATACGTCCTCCTCAACAAGTTCTCCCCTCCCTTCCCATTATGAGGAAAAATTATGTAACTTTTCCCTTCTTCATATCACCATCCCCTAGTCACTCCAATCTTCCAACAGTGATGTTTTGGTTCTTGGGAGCTTTATCAAAAGAGCTAGAGAAGGTTGAAAAAAAAGGTCCAGTCTGCCAAACTACTCTACAAGGTGAGAAGTGAGAACAATGGTTCTTTTGGGGGGGGGGGTTAAGAAGTGACTGGAAGGGGGCACCAGAGGGTCTTCTGGGGGACTGATAATGTTTTGTTTCTTACTCTGGGGGCTAGTTCTGTAAAAGTGTTCCATTTGTGAAAGTTCATGAGCTGTACACTTAAGATCTGTGCACTTTTCTGTAGTCATACTTTACATACAATCATACGTATTTATGTGCATATGTATATATTTTTTATCTTTATATTAAAGATTTCTTAATATCCTGGTCTGTTCACAGTAAAATAAATATTTAAAGGATTATTAATAATGAAAAATTGTGGGTGGCGCCTGTGGCTCAGTGAGTAGGGTGCTGGCCCCATATACCGAGGGTGGCGGGTTCAAACCCGGCCCCATCTGAACTGCAACCAAAAAATAGCCTGGTGTTGTGGCAGGTGCCTGTAATCCCAGCTACTTGGGAGGCTGAGGCAAGACAATCACTTAAGCCCAGGAATTGGAGGTTGCTGTGAGCTGTGATGCCATGGTACTCTACCAAGGGCAATAAAGTGAGACTTTGTCTCTACAAAAAAAAAGAAAGAAAAATTGTGCTAATTGAGTTTCAGAAGTTGGGACAAGTGGAAATTACACTTTTGACACATAGTCAAACCACCTTTTGTATTAGTAAAAGATCCCAAAATGATGACAGTTGGAAAGAGATAGAATAGAAAATACAAGTAACAAGAAAATTCAACAAATGTCACTTTATAAATGAAAATACTCTATACGAGTGGATTCTTGTAAAAGCTAGGTATTCTAGACAGTCTGGTATTTGTTGCAGAACCTTAGTCTCAATCCTGGCTCTCCCTCCACTAGAGCTTGACATGCTAGGGTTAATTTCCTACATCTGCAGATCACCACTTCTTCAGAGAGAGGAATAATAAATGGCCTTCTTTGCCTCCCCAAAGGAAGAATATGTAAATTAGGTTGCATGAATAAAAGTATTCTGGAAAAAAAAGTACAAAGTGCTGCAGAAATGCAGGAACCACAATTATGGGAGAAACTGCACATGACCTTCCATCCTCAAAAATCTTATTTTTCAGATGATTTTTCAAAACATATGGAAACACTGGTAAATTGACATTGCATGCTTTTATATGTAAGCTATTTTTCTCAGTAAGAATAAATGAAAAGAAACAAGGCAATGGAGAAAGTTAAAAATAGTACTTTACCCTTAAATGTGATTTTTACCTCTAGTACCAAGTTTTCTTGAGTGGGTGAGGAGTAAAAATATTCATGGTCTGGAGTTAAAAATTCATCTGTTATATCCTCAGAAGACTCAGGTGAACAAGTTGATTGCACGGACTGATCCTATTAGTAATACAGGAAATCACTTTTAAGTTGCTGTTCATTGTAACCAAATCACTTTTTAGCTGGATGCAATGTTAAAAACAGGCTTATCTATAGCTGGGCATTGTGGCAGGCGCCTGTGGTCCCTGATACTTAGGAGGTGAGGCAAGAGAATCGCTTAAGCCCAAGAGTTTGAGGTTGCTATGTTGCCCTTGGTAGATGCCACAGCACTCTGCCAAGAGCAACATAGTGAGACTATCTCAAAACAAAAACAAGAAACAAAAAAATGGGCTCCGTGCCTATAGCTCAAGCAGCTAAGGCACCAGCCACATACATATACCAGAGCTGGTGGATTCGAATCCAGCCAGGGCCTGCCAAACAACAATGACAACTATAACCAAAAAATAGCTGGCCGTTGTGGCAGG